GTGAAGGAAGATGCCATCCTGGTGCTGGATGCATCACAAGGGGTTCTGACAGTTGCTGGCCGAGCTGATGATATAAAACGAATCAGGGCTCCTGTGGAGAAGATTCTTCTGAAAGCCATGAGTCACATTGAACGACAGACAAAGAGCATCTCTGAGGAAATGATTTTGCCCCCTGCATGGTTCTACATCCTGAAGCTGGAGGGGCTCCAGACAGCTGCTCTGGACATTTCTCCTGAGATGAAACTCTCTTATGATGAAGGCACCCAGAAGTTGACCATTACAGGACTCACTGCAGAGTTCTACAAGACCAAGTCATGGATCTCTGAGAAGATAATGAATATGAGTAAGAAACAACAGAATGTCCCCCCATGTCTTCTAGACTTTCTCAGAACATTGGATCCCATGGACATGTCCCAGGATCTGTTCACATCTCAAGGCATCAGTGCAGTCTACACCATTGAAAGCAAATGGCTTCTCCTGTTGGGGAGTTCTGACAGAGCCCTTGTTGATGCGGAAAGTAAGATGAAGACTGCTTTGGCTCATCAGATTGTAGAAGTGGAAGACCAAAAAGTTCTAAAACTTCCCACCTGGGGCCACCTGAAGCAAAAGCTGCTGGATACCTACAACCTATCCAAGAAAAAAACTGTTGCCATTGAGATGCATCCAGAAAGAAGAAACAAAATAACAGTGGCGGGTTTTGTGAATCCAGTGAAAGAGGTCAGCCAGAGTCTGAGGGAGTTTATTGCAAGCAATTCACAAGTCCAAGAAATCCTTCGTCTCCAATCCTGTGCTGTTGTTTTGTTCATTAAAAGGAAAAAATCAAAGGAGTGTTCCAGTATTGCCAAAGATAATCATGTATCAGTAAGGTTTTATGTACAGAAGCAGAGCATCAGCATCCTTGGTGCTCGTCTTCATGTCCAGAAAGCCAAATCCTGCTTTAGGGAACTGGCCAGTGCTCTCTTCACTGACACCTTAACTGTGGACAAGCCCGGAGCAAAGAAATATTTCCAAAACCAAGGAAAAATGTTACTGTCTACCTTAATGAATGAGTTAAGATGTGC